ATATTGCACACCTCATTCTTTTGAAAAGAACTAAGGACCATTACTAGTTCAAACGGACTGAACTGAAACTGTACCAGCCCCGCCCTCAGAGTAATCGAATGTTGAGTTTAACGCCACATAAAACCCAATGTTTACTTTGCTCTAACTTTCTGTTCCTGGTATAAAACTGAAAATATTGTTAATTTTCCTATAGAAGAAGTATTGTTCTTTAAGTATAGTATATATAAGTATAGTATGTAGACAGACTGGCCTCAACTGTCCGTTTTGTGATAGGTTTCACTTTTGAAAACTATTTAAACCCATGTTTGAGGGATGTGATGTATATATATGATAAATAGATCCTACGTGTCGACTTTCAAATGGAGAGAGCATGTCACAAAAATCAGTCATCATAAAGTGCAGATAATTCAGAAACATTATATGTAATATACACATACAGATTCTATCTATATGGATCCCTGTGCAGCACTTAATATGTCAGTCAATCTATCGTTCAAGTCCTCTCGTATCTATTTTATGCCATTCTGTTTTTTCTCCTGTTTTTGTGCGATATCTTCACCGTCAGTAGTGAATTGAGGACGAAGGCGAAGAATATTTCCGCATTCACATCTTGCCAGGCAGACTGCATCCACTTTAAAAAATTTCTGGATCCGCCCTTGTTCACTGTGCTTTTTAGACGTATTAGTTTTACAAAATTTTTTAGAATTTTTATTGTATCCTCATCAGATCAATGATCTATTCACATAATTTGATTGTGTCAATTAAAATGTCTTTAGAAATGACCATTTGTATAAATAGTCTATGTCAGTACCCATTTGGGATAAACAAAAAGGACTATGTTTAATAAATAAAAGCCTTTTATCGAAATAAGAAAGAAGACCATATTGACCCAAGGTTACTGTAGGTATGGTCTTAATAATAAAATTGTTAGATCGAAATGAACATGAATTCATCGTTTATACTTTGTTCTTTTTTTTCTACTGCTCTCACATCACAAGAGCACTTATATAGTTAATATTCCGTTTTCTACATTTGACTTTTTCTTTGCATTTTTTTTTCGTTTGCGGTTGCTTACCACAGAAAGCAAAAGAAAACTTTTTCTACGTAGCAGTATTACGCTTTTACTTCTCTTCTGGAATGTGATAATGGCTTCTCTTGTTCTTCTTGAGTAACATGTATTTTTTTGTTAGATAAACCGCAGTTTGGAGAAAACAAACAATTTTTCTCTGTTTGTATGTGCTAATTGTGGTTTGTCCAGAAACATAATACATTTAGTTAAAAAAAAGTCATATAGAATTTTTCTCTCTAATATAAATTATTATATTAATGAAAATTATATTATAATCTAAGTCATCACTCAAGTAAGTATGAAAGATTAGTGAACAATTTAATCGAAGATGTAATCTACACACATTTGATACCCATTATCAATTTTTAGTGTAGGCGTTTTTATGAGTTTGTTTATTAAGATAAAATTTTTAACTATAACTATTTCAGATAAATATCTTGCAGCGCTTTCGTTATAAAAAAAAGCAAAATTACATCATGAGTAGTACTAGAAAGTCAGTTATTGATTAGTTCATTATCTTATAGATATACTACTAATGAATAATTTATTCACTTTCGTTTTCATTATTTTAACCTTTTTTTCCATTTACATCGATATTTCAGTTGAGTAATTAATCATTATCAAATCTTCCTAATTAACCAATCATCTTTTCAATAAATATTGGATTTTTGTAAGAATCTGTTAGTCATTGTAATCATCGAAGATTGGACATTTGGTTTTTAACGCATGTATATTGAGTCATGTTTTTATAAGTAACAAGATTGTCTTGTATTTGTAAAAATGGAATCAAATTAAATTCCTGAAATACGTTCATCTTAAAGAAATATGTCTGTAATTTAAAGATGTGCAAACCGATAAAAAGTCATGTCCGTGCAAATCGCTACTATAATTTTATTTTAGAAAAAAAAAAAAAAATACATTTTTTTTTTGTATACTACCACCATAAAATGTATCTGTTCTTGTCTTGAGTCTGTTTTATAATGAGTACACATAGTGTCTTTATCATTTGAATTATGTGTATACACATACACTCGTACTCTTATATGTGCGAAATGAAAATACCTGTGCAAGGTCAAGAAGGAGTGAGTAAGTAAGAATGTATATGAAATATAAACATTGCTACCATCATCATTGTTATCATCTGTACTTCTGTTTATTACAGATTGCATTACGCATAGATTTTTTTTTCTACGTAACCTTTTGAATGGAACCATTAATTGGAAAAATTTTGTATTTTTTATATTATTTTTTTTTTAAAGTGAAAATATATACACGTACATAACTGTTTGATTAAATATGCACTAACATTTTAACATATTCAACCATACTTATGTAACAAGAATTGATAATTTGATACGAATATCACAACATATTTATGTTGATTATTATTATTGTTGAGAGCGTTCATTACAATTAATAATAATAAGCGAAAATAGATGGTACAATGAATAATAATCCACATAACTAAATAAAAGATGAATCATTTTGAATGATGTACTGATGAGATCAAAGAAATATTGTTTATTATTTTTAGCCGTTAGTCTTGTAAATACCATATTTATCAATTAAATATATGCCACCTTGCATTGTTTAAACAATACTGAATGAGTTAAAAATTTATTAATACAGAATGAAGTTTTGTCAACTATTAGTAGACAAAAAAAGTGACATAGTATATACAAACATCTTATACAATGTTGATTTCAGAAGATGTTTTTTATTAACTAAATATAGTTATTTATTATGAATATAACATATAATATCTTTTTTATCGGACATATATACCTTTATAATTGCCAAATAGAAACAAGCATACAATAAATATAGATAATGTGCCCTTCAAAAATATGCCATTTTCACAAGGACAGTTAACTGGCGAACACCAGGTGGATATGTGTCTAAACAACTATGAATATACAAAGATTTAGAAATAAAATATTTTAGATAACGTTTCTATAAGATGATAACTTATTTTAACTTCCTGTTGTTAATACATCAGAGACATAGTTAGAGGTTACAGCCTAGGAGACTTACGATCACCCCTTGGAGAGTTTTTTTTTCTTTGATCGCTGCCAGACTGAGAATAAATAATTGTTGCTCTATTGCATAATATCCAATTATTATTCAAATTTAGCTTCTATACAAGAGAAAAATACATTAATAGAAATATTAGAGATGATTTTCTTTTTCTTGTTTATCGCATGTAGATATATTTGCAGTTAATATAATAGAATGATATGTGTCAAAAATTGTATCTTTATTGCTCAAAGACAATATCTACACACATATATGCAAGAAGAATTATTTTACCAAGGTAACGAAAAACTGAAAATTGAATAATTGTGTATCTACCTTTTTTGAACAATGAAGGACGTGAACGTACACATTCATATGTCACATAACTGCTAATTGTATATTTTGTACAAATATTTTCTGGATCTTTTTTCTTATCAAACTATTAGAACTAGATTTGTAGTTTATTGTAGAATAGTGATCAAATTTTGAACAAATTATTTAAACTCAAATCGTACTACAAAATAACAGTGGACACTTTTCTACTGATTCATCGAAATGTGTGTTTTCTGAAGCTAAAGACATGATCAGCCGTTTTGATTACAGAGAAAATCTTATGATAATTTTAGTTGTATGTACTGATGTTTTTTTGCGTAATATTAGTTAATGATTAAAGAAACTGAACATTTAAGATTTACTTTTATGGCAATCATCAGTTGTTTAATGGCGTGTGAAAATATTTTTCTTGTTCTGTCATGCCTCTGCGTGACTTATTCTTTACAACTGCAATAAATCATTTATAATTAATTAAACATTTATATTTGATTGAACATATTTATTAGATATAAGTTAAGTTTATAGTACAAATGAACGAAGAAACATTTAGAAAATATAAAAAAAAATAGATGTACATACTATGTAACCGTTTATTTGTGTTAATATATGATTAAATATGTTTAACCGCAATGAACACAATCTTAAATAGTATTTTCTGCACGCAATTGAGAGTATTGTTTCAATTTAGTTCAAAAACATTAATTAAATATTCCTTTAAAACATCTCCCAAGACGTTGTATTTCGACAAGATATACCATGCTTTAGTTGAAATGTCACATGGTTCATCTCTTCTTTTTTTTTGTCGAATTTAAGAGACCGTTCAAAAATCGCTAAGCGTCTATTGTGAGTATTACCATAGACAAATTTGTTGAGACCATAGAAGACCGCTACTGTTTATTAGTATTACATTTTTTCTTTCTTCTTCAAATTATACGATTTTATTTTCTAAAGTATAAATCTGACAAGAAATAATTTGAATAACAAATGTTTATTGACGTGGAAAAGAAGTTATATGCGGCACTAAACAGAACAAAGTACATTATAGATAAAGCACGTATTTACACTTTTAGCGCGATGTGAAAGAAAAAATATAGCTATTGTTTGCAGAGTATCATGATTTTTCTTATACGTAGACTGATACTTTATTATATCCTTTACTACATTACTAAAGGTACACTAACATTTCTCGAATAAACCAGTCATAAAGTCACGTAGATCACATCAAGTTTTCTGATTTAGTTATTTAGAAAAGATCGAGTATAATCTAATTTCCCATCTGGAACTACTCAACAGATAATAAAATGTAGATCTCAAACTTCAGAAGTGCACCTCTACATATTAGATTTATTTCGAACATCACATAAATTTTAAGGAATTTAGGTATCAGATACTACGCCATTATAATTAACTAAAAATTGTTTTTTCTCAACGAGAATGAATATAATTTCGTATTAAAAAGGTGTTTTTGTTGAATTTTAGTATGAAACGCATGTCATTACATCGATTCTCATCGTACGTATTCTTCTTCTTGTTAATAGCAGGTGGATGTAATTCTAAATCCTGTGATATCCTTGAGAACTTTATGTGTGATTGTCATGATCATTTGAATGATTATGGTCAATTGACATGTGAAACTTATGAAAGTATTTCGTCTATAAAAATTAAACAAGAAGCGATTCAATCAAGAACCTATTTTAATAGTTATATACTTACATTCGGTGCTTATACTTTAAATATATCAAGTCAATTTATTCGTGAATTATCGTATCTTTTTCCACCACTAATTAATAATAATAATAATAATTTACCGCAAACGACAGTAAAAGATGTTAGTTTCATTAAAATATCACTTATTTTCTCACAATTTCAACAATTACATTTCCAAGATTATGTATTCTATGAGTTATTCGATGAAACAAATCAATATCAACAACAACGTCAAACTACACTCAATTTAGAAATGTCATCAAATGGTCAAATTATATTGAATCCATTGACATTTTTAAAATTATCCGTTGGACAATTAATTATTCATGCTTCATCCCTCGGCGAATATCCGTTTGAATATGTATTTAATAATACAAACATCGGTGATTTATCTATTGAAGGTTTTACATTGAAAAGTAATGATACATTGAGACAATCATTTCAGGGTAACATTAAATCAGCAAAATTTACAAAAATGGCTGAAACATTGAGTGATGAAGAATTTCCAATGGTACCCGTGAAATCTTTAATTATCGAAGTACATGAACCACGAAGAATAAATTCGAGTAGTTTTCTTTTATATAAAAATTTAAATGGACTACACATTATTCAGCCAAGATTTAATTTAGATAAAAACACGTTTGAGGGTTTTCAATATTTAAGAAATTTAGAAACAATGGTTCTCGATTGTGAAATAGTAAAAGGTAAGCATCTTCCTTTTGAATTACTAGTGCAATTTGTGTAAAATTTATTTCCACGATTTCTCAAGATCTCATCACTTACTTGAGGATACTGATACTTTAAATCTAATTAATATATTTGCTGAGAAGATCAGTCAATAACTGTTCTAAAAATGTCTCTGCTTAGATGGGAAGAATGATCCCTGGCTTTTGTTACGTCGATCTCCAAAACGACACGATGTTTATAGTACTTTTTTAAGCTCCTATTTCTTGGCATTAAAATATTAATCTAATGTCACTTATTATGTAATGGATTATATATGTTCGTATGCGATAATTTTCGTCTTATTAAAAGAGCTATTGGTGTTTATAGCAAAAAATATGTATTCTGTACAAATGTACGACCTTGTGCTGGAAATGATACTCTACTTTTAAACTCTAGAAGTTGAATTATGTATTCAATTATGTTTTTTAGCTGACACCTTCCACCATGTACCAAGATTAAGGTTTTTGACATTCGGTCAAAATTTGAAAATACTGTACGAGAATTCATTAAATCATTTAAACAGTTTGGAACGACTTGATTTGGATAAAATATTATTAGATCAATTATCAACTGCTTCTCGTTGTGTATTAGCTAAATTTATCACGAATCATCTTAAATTGTATCCGTCTTTTATTGTTTATCCTCCGAAAGGTGAAGGATGTGATTGTACCTACGATTATATTCTCGCTATATTGAATAAACATCCGAGCCCATATTATTCCGATAATTGCAAAGACAGTCAACAAGAACGTTGTTTATTAAGTGAATGTAGCGTAGTACAAAATTTTAAACCACAACCATCAGCATCAGTTTCAGGGAAAAATCGTTTTAATGACTCACTAACGTTTGATTATCTTCGAATTATTGATGAACAATTATCGGAATCTACTGACATCCAGCAGGAACAACCTATACAACATCAGCCATTACCATTATTTCCTGTTCAACCACCACAATATCAACCGTCACCATCGTTTCCTGTTCAACCACCACAATATCAACCGTCACCATCATTTCCTGTTCAACCACCACAATATCAGCCGTCACTATCATATCCTATTCAACCACCGCAATACCATTACCACAATCAAAATAATCCGTCCGTTGAATCTAGACAATCAATTTATGATAACAACAATGAAGCTGGAACACAAGTGATTATTTTACCATTACCAAGAGAACGAATTCAAAACATTGAACCGGCAACACCTGTATTTTTGGTAAGAAAACGATATAGAAAAGGAAAAAAGCAGATAAGAAAACACTATCACCGTTTAAGGACTGAATTTAATCAAAAATAAAAATGATAAAAACTAAATATAACTAGTATATTAGCATTACATTCAGATTTTCAAAGTTTTTGTCTCTTTGATGGAATTTTGCTAGTCGAAAAGACAAAACTTTTGAGATGTTCTTTGAGTGTCTTCTTATTTATAGAAATCCCGGTTATTAGACAATATCATGTTTAAAAACTACTATTGTATGCATGATTTTGTGGTCTTCCAAGTTCTTCTCTCATAAACACTTTTTTGAATGAGAACAGGCACTTTGAAACACAGTACTAATCATTTAAATTGTCAGCAATAAAACAAAATGCAGAAAACTTTCCTTGTTATTTAGCAAGCGTTTTTGTTATATGTCTGTCTTTGACATTAAACACAATATGCTATAGTTTAATTCCAAACTATCCATTATATTTCAAATCTAAATTTAATCTTAATAAATTTTTTATATCAATAATTAAATAAGTAAAAATAAAATTGTTTCGCTTGTATAGCTAACTTGTACTAGATACAAAAATAATAAACATAGTTTTATGGACTCACGTTGTCCTAAACATAACAATGTACACAACAATTTCAATACAATTTTATATACCAATCAACTGCCTATAACAAACCGACAATGGACTGATGAAATTAATTTACAATAAAAATAATCTTCACTTTTGTACGTTTATGAGACACTAGTTTGTTCCTTTTTTTTTACAAAAATAGTATATTAAATTTTTTCATTTTTGTTTAGAATAATGGATCATTATCAAATCTATTACCAAAATCACACCGTTCTTCATTATTAGTAACTGAAACAACTAAACCAAAACCTCTGATTTATACCAATAATCTTGAACGAGATAATAATAAGAACAATGATGGTATTAATAACGGTAAAATTCTCGATATTAGTTCTAAACATTCAAAACTAGAAACACAAAAAGATGATGATGACAATCAACGTATAGCTCTCAAAAACGAAACATTGAAATGGATTGCATTGTCATTGCTGGCCGTTACTGTTTTGTGCTTACTAATTGTTATTACGATTATTTGGTTTTTCACTTGTCGACCAAAAAAATCACCATCCGGGTTTAAATTAGTACCCCATAGTTCGTCGGTTTAGATTATTAGTTGAACACAACAACTTTTATAATTTCGTTTATTCCGGTGATTGGGGCCAATACAAGGTCCTATACCGTTTATGCTTTTTAGTTTCAACTGGAAGATCAACAAAAGTTTTTGTATGGTATCCACATGTACAATCCTGTAGCAATACGAAGAATCAAGAAACTAAAGAAAAACAAAGAATGATAACAAGATTGTTCGATGTTTATACTATGTAACAAATCAACCTTGTAGTACAAGGATAGCACTGTTACAAGGAACGAGTATACGTCATCATAAATGATATAATAAACATTCTCAAATGGAGTAAAAGATAGCTAGTATGAATCTTGTTCGAAAACTATAGACAAACATTAGATAGATCCTTGGGGATTTAAATGAATATTTTCACGTCCATCATGATATATATCAACAATTGTTTCTTTTTTAGGCTAAATTATACTAATCCTGTTGAAAGAATTTACTACGTACAAAACTCCATTTTTCTCGCCAACACTCCACCTTTTCTGTTCAAAAACCCATATTTTCTCTCCAATACTCCGTTTTTTCTGCAAAACCCCATCTTTTCTCGCCAACACTCCATTTTTTCTGTTAAAAACTCCATCCAGACGTCAATGCGACATTTAAATTTTCTCATATTATGAAAATCTTTGTTCACATACTGCTTTTAGAGTTTCTTAACTGATTTATTTGTATGTTTTGGATGAAAAAGAAAAAACTTTATTTACAGACAATAATAGAAGTACCTCACAGTTGCGGATGACATTCGTTTTATCTTTTTCCTAACTTACAGACACTGCGAGTGTCTTCAGTAAAATCAAAGCGATCATAATCATTTTCTACGTTATCAATCATTTCAAAAACATGAATCTAAAATGTTATGTCAAATTCTAGAAGTTATTTCTCATCAATCAAATGAAAAAATTTAAGACAATTCGACCTTCTAATAAGAAAAGCCAATTCTCTCTGCTATCTAATCTGAATGTTTTAGAATATCATCAATAGAAATTCAAGATTCTGCGTCAGTTTTAATCTTTTCTTCGTTGACAAAAGACAAATGGTCTCTGTTCTGAGAGAAACAGGTATAATGATAATATTCTAGGACTAGTTAAATCTACTTTTTTGTAAATTTCTCTGGGTGAGATAGAATTTGAATTTGAAATATGAGCGGAGATATAAGTACTACAAAGTAACGCATAATGGCACCGGTTGTCGCTTCCTGAGAAGCATGCTGTTTTTTTGCTACCAAAGATAAAAGTTTAACAAATAGAGTACAGTAACAAGAGATTATTATTCGATTTTTCGTTTTTCGTCTTTTTTTCTTAACATTAGCAAAACAGAGAAATAAAAGAAAGAACGTGAATAGAAATGAGATCTATGGTACAACTAAAAGTAGCAACAAATAAACAAACCAGCCGTGTTCATGGTCTCCATCACAGCCAAACGCATAGTAGCGTGAACGTTTAATTTACAATTGAAGATCCGAATCACTGAAACTATACAAATACTATATAAAGTTGATAGTTTTCGGAGTCTGACGTTCACAAAAAAATTTTTCATAAATTTGGTTCCTGTTTCTTTAAAAATTCTTGAAATTCTTTAAAAATATATAATCAATGTGTCTTTTTCGATAACATTCAATGATTGATCATTCAGAATAGCTTCTGCTATAAGTTCTTTGCCAGCTGTGTGTATACATTTGAAAAAAATATCGTATGGTTGAAATGGAGCGTTTGAGCAATACTGTAACATCTGTCGTTCGACATTAACTGTAACATAGAAATTCAGCAATAATTTCATAAATTCACCAATAATCAGATGTATACTCCTGTAATCGTCGTAGCGACCATTTGGATTGACAAGAGTACGATTCAATTCATTGCCGTTTATTATATTAAAGAAAGATATTTTTTGAAAAGAATAGAATATCATCATGGGTTTAGAAACACAATAAGGTAGGAAAAGATTTCTCAAAGAAATAACATGAGAGAAGTGGAAGTCTTAGCGAGACATTACCGTCAGAGAAAACTCGGCTCATCGACGTAGAGCCCATCGGGTCCATGATTTTTGGACCCGGACCCGATGATAAAAATTTATTCAAACTCGGACCGGACCCGGACCCGGCTGGTTAAATTTTTTTGTACCCGGACCCGGACCCGAACCCGCTCAAACAAAATTCTCGAATTCGAACCCAGTAATTAATTCTTTGTGATTCGTGCCCGAATCACTCATTTGAGATCTATAATGCAAAATTCTAGTTCGGATTTGATAATCGATCCAAAGATAGGATATCCTTTTTTTTCATTTTTTATGTTCGACAAGTAACATATTCTACATATTCTTTAAGTCATCCGATAGTCCGATAGCGATTCTATAATAATTAAATCGAATTCGTTCGTATTAGTTTTTGTCGAAGAATACAAATGTATTTAAAAAAGTTTCATTATTTCTTTTGTATAACAACTATTTTATATTATAGTAGTCGTTCTCTTTGTTTTACTTAATAAAATATGTATACAAAAATCTAAAAAAAGCTCATGAGTTTATTGCTAAACATTTTCTGAATAAAAAGAACAGAAATAAACGAAAATAAAAATAATGGAATTATTTTTTATAGTGGATTTTTTTCTGGATAATAAAAATTTATAGACCCGGACCCGTTGAATTCAAAATCTTCGGACCCGGACCCGATGGGCTCTACTCATCGAGTTTCACTGAAAATTTAGTGATCGACACCTGCATTATAACTTTCTACATTACGCCAACTGAATAAATGCCTGCAATCTGAAAATATGTATGCTTCTTCACTATGAAAACATTCTTATTTCCAACAAAGCAAGAGAGCAGAAACTAATAGTTATGTGATATAATCATCAACACTACAATACCACACTCATCTCACTTCTCCTACTCATCACTTTTAGAACATTACAACGACAACACATGAACTGTAAGACTAAAGCGACAATCTCATCCACCTCGTCCATTTTTCACAAATACGGGCTGAGCAACGAAAAACATGACACAAAGACAACATCTCCGACACCTCTTCCATCAGCAGTAATAAAAATATCCACAACATCATCAGCTTCTTACACAAAAACCAATAAAAATGTACAATCCACATCCGAAGCATTTTCTTCTTCAATTGCCACTAGTGAGAGAACACCAAATGACATTATAAGAATCTCACAAGAATTCATAAGACATTGGTAAGAGTAAGCAAAACTCGTACGTTATTCTTATCAGATTCTTATAAGATTCTTATGTAAGAACCGATGACTAGGGTGGCTTGATCCAAAGATTGGTTCAGACGAAGACACACAACGCACTGTGGTGATGCATCATGTATTTTAATCATGTATATAGCCAAAGTTTATTGAGTGAATTTGAGAATGTTTGATCCTGCGAGTAACAAAAATTCTATTGAATTCAGATTCTTTTATAAGATAATTATAATTCAATTTGTTTCTACGTATGTAAAAGTTCATAAAATAGATGATAGTTTCATTGACTTTGTTATTGATATTGTTATTCCGTACGGTTTTGTACGGAGGAGTAAAAGTTTATGCTAAACAGTGGGAAAAGTTCTGTTTTTATTCTATGTGGTTTCATATGAAATATACTCGAGAAAAATATATATCATAGAGTATACGACTACAATATACGTTCTGTTTATTATTACTGTTCAGGCACAATTTAGAATCGTTGAAGGTGACAATAAGACGTTCAGTAATCTTTACATAACTACGGATGTTTAGTAAGGGTATACAAAAACTATCCGAAAAATGCCTTTCACGAAGTTTATTCATATAGTACATTTAAAAAATGAATGAGTTAGTCAGTGAGGGACAAATCGAGTCTAAGCCAGTTTAAATCATTAGTATCGAAGTTTGAATCAATTTACCAACGATTCTAATTTAGAATTACATTCTTTAATAAATTTAAATAAACAGGAAAATCAAGAAACTACACACTGTCAGGTCAGTGAAGTGCTTGAACTGACTAAAACAATTTAAATCTCTTTGTTTTTCTGATTAACAGGCTAAAATGTAGAAAAGGTGACGTTTTCAAACTCTAAGATAGTTTTGCTATATAATAATACGTACTGCATATTCAGCTGATGAATTATTCTATCACTATATAGCTATATACTTTGCATATCATCGAACCGAAAAATTTTAAAAGTTTGTTCGGTCAAAACCGATTGCAGATTCGTCTTCTCCATCATTGATTATGTGGTACGCGATAACTTCTTGATCGGGGTACTTTAGAAAAAATTTTCGACATCATTTTGCCTTTGCCCCCCCCCATACGGTAACTTTTTGAAAAAATTTTCAAACAAGACCATGGCAAATTTTTTCTGCCCGATCCAAAAGTTATTGCGTATCACATAATCAACCATGAAGAAGACGAATCTGCAGTCGGTTTTGATCGAACAAGCTTTCAAAATTTTTCGGTCCGCTGATATGTTGTATATGCAGTATAGGATATATAATAAGTCCTCAATAAGGTAGCAAAGATTTATCGAACGGATTTAGCGAAGATGCATCGAACTCGTTCTGGATATACTTCATAGTCCAAATAGAATCTGAGATCTGAGACCCCGCTGACTGATGTTTACTCATTTCGCTTAAGATGTCACCATTGAACTGGATATTTGCTCCATCTACTTATTGAGAAGAGAGGACAGGAGCTATTGTGTTATTTGCAGTCAGATCATCTAATACCTGATCGACAGTGTTAACTAGCGTGGCGTTTCTGTGTTGTTCGATTTTCTTCTCGGTTGTGCGAGTGAGGAAATTTACTGTAATATCTCAAAAAAAAAAAGTTTATGCAGAGTAGTAGAAAAGTACCTTTTCGTATTTAATACACTCGATAATCCCGAAGATATTCTATTTGTGGCAAAGACGTATTGGTAAAAGTTTAAAAAAAAGTCTGAAATCAATATTATTTTCTCATATAAATTTTTTTCGCCATTTTTGTTCGAAAAGTTTTCCTAAACTTTTGGCAGTATCTCTGTTCAAAAATAGAAAATCTACGGGGTTATCGCGTGTGCTGAATACGCAAAGGCGCTTTTCCGCGACTTTAAATGAACTTTAGTTTCTGTCGGTGGTATGGTGGCAGTAAGGTATTCCTAGATTATGTTATGAATATACAGTTTTACGAGACTGTAGAAGCCTAAGGGATCACCATTTTCTAAACTTGGTAATTAGATTTGTCATAAATGTTTTAGCCCCTTGTTAGGATATTTTTTAGCGTTATTGTCAGGGATTGCTTTATAAGTGTTTATTATTATAGTTCATAAAGTGTGCCGTATTTGTAACTGTAAATTGCCGTTGCTCTGTAAGAAACTTGTTTTATTCGTCTTCAGGTTCAAGATGAGATTTTTTATTATTGGATTTATTTTTTGTTCATACTTATCTGTAATTCAATCGCGAAAGAAAGATCCACTCGATTTCACCGATGCTGATGTCGAAAATCTTTATAAACAGTGGGAAGTAAGATCATAATGAACATATTCTTGTTTTCATTTCTCTATTACACCTATTTTTTCACTTTAGGAAAATGATGATGTTAAATTACCACTTGATGAGCAAGACGAATTGCAGCGACTTCGTCAAGGTACAAAGTCAATGAATCAGTTACCTGACATGAAATTTATTAGTCGATACGAAAACGTTCTGTTTGCTTTATTCTTAGGAAAACAACGTCCTATGTTCAATATGAACGATCTAGCCGGCAAAAATCCAGAAGAAATAATGAAACTATCGAAAAAAGGTCAGACGTTGATGATGTTTGTCACTATTTCCGATAATCCGACTAGACAAGAAACAGAAGACATTACCCAAATATGGTATTACGGATTAAAAAACGCATTGTATGATGTGTCAAAGTAAGATACGTACAACATTGTTCGATATTTAATAAGATCTTTGATTTAGCCAAAAGTGTACATTGAGATATTATTGAACTTTTCGTTTGAGTAGAGTAAATTCTTACACTAAATGAATAAAAGGAGATACAACTGAACAGACTATGAGGAGGACAGTTTGGTGTATCATTTGTCTACAAAAAGCGAAATTGAATGATTGAACAACTTTCTGCTTTGCGATATTTATCTCGAAGGATTTTCGAAAAAGTTTATTAAAAATTAAGAGATTATTTTTCTCAAAAAATGACTTATTTACAATTAATTGCTCAATTTACTTTTTTCTAAATTTAGATATGTGGTCGACGACAATCGTATATTACTTTTACTACAGGATGGATCACAGGCATTTGAAATAAAAGATTTTCTTGTTCAGCAGGATAGATGTGAAGAAGTGACAATTGATAATCGACCGTATTATGGAAAAGGCTCTAAGGTATGACGTGTATGATTACATAGATATATTCATAGAAATTCATATTTAAGAATGGATAAACGAGCATAACTTTCCACAATATCATTTTTCGAATGTATTGAATATCAATTACGATGTTTGATTTGATTCTTTTTCATTTCATAACAGATCTTTTATTTTTAGAAAACTCGAACACAAGATCTTTAACAAGTTTTTATGAGCCAATTAACAGAGCTCTCTTCGTTTAATCTCATGTAATTGATACGGATAAAAAGAATTTACGATTATTCCGTTGTACATTGAACTCTGAATGTGTTAACTCAATTTTATTAATAATCAAAATTTATTTTTTGGCCAGTTTTCATCTTTGCCAATATTACTGTGATTACCCAATTAGAAATAGGTAAAAAACACAATACAATTACTTTATTATATTTGATTATTTGTTTTTCTAGTCCAAAGTTTTCTTAAAAATATTTTGCTTTTATAAACTGTGATTTATCCATACTGATTTTTTGTGAATTGTCTTGGTCTTTTTGCCTATTCTGATCATAAATATCATTTTTACACATTTTCAACTTGTGAAACAAATGCACATTTTTGCATCTGATAAGTTTATGTTACTTAATAATCAAAAATAAAGATATCTATGTGATTATATTTCTAAATTTAACAAATAAATGATTTAGATTTAGAATTTTTATTCTCTGCTTATTTTTGCTAATTTATTAAATATCTATTAAATCTAACTAAATAAATATCCTCGTCATTTGATTATATATCTATTTTGAATTACTAACATACATTTATTCAACATAAGCAAATAGAAACTAACGGATGTTTCCTCTTTAGTATTCGCTTCGATCAGCGATATGTAACTTTCGTACCAGCTTTCACATTTTCCATGCGAAATTTTGACACTTCATTCTAGTTTAAATAAATATTCAAATATTCTTTTTTTAAACGTTTATTAGTGAAACTGCAAACTTTTCTTTACCTGACTTTTCATTGAAAGAGAGACTTTGTTAGAGTGTATTCAGAAGTATGTGAGATGATTTCGTTCTCAAAGTGATGATTCATCAGATGAATATCAAAAACAACTATCGAGGCATTCTTTATTAATGATGGTGTTGACGAAAGTCTTCAATTACTACTGTACAAGATTGACTAAATACGCTAGAAAAACTCATAGATATTTGTATTAAGCCGCATATTTACTCATAGATCATCCTATATGTCTAGATCGTTTTCATGTAATACGAAAATATCTTTTATTCGCTGAGAAATCGTACACTTTTCTGTAACTATGTACAAAAACATAAAAAGATATTTTAGCGCATGGAAAATGACAAACTGTACACAGAAAAATCCTTGTCCTATTAGTACTGGCATGCACTTTCATCGCGCATCTAGCAATGCAAGAACAAAAATCGTTTCATCTTCAGCATGAGTCAATGCGTACAACTGCATCAAAATCACACATGAAAAGCAATTTTATTTGCTGGTCAACGCCATAATCCATTAACTTCAATATAAAACAAGAAAAGATATTTTGAGTTACTTCATTAGATTAATTGTCTCATGCAGACTTTAATGTAGAGGAAGATATTTTATATTGTTCTTTACGTTTTTATTGTGGTTGCTCATGTTCAGACATAGAGACCAATTTATAATACAACGATTGAAATAATCGTGTGAATTCTACCCTAAAAATTCGGTCAGTTAAAGCGTAAAGGTAGAACGTGAAACTTACACCAAACATTGGTATAATTCCAACAAATTGATAAGTCAAATTTTCAACTACTATCTGCAATTGCGATTTCGAAACGTAAACGACATATATTTTTTGCATCATTAATGGTGTATCGACAATTGCCACTAATGCCACTTGTTTGAATAGGAGGTAGTGTAATTTTCGATCACTGTTTTTTGTCGTTCGTCTACTACCAGCAACAGTTTGATGCGATTTTCTCAAATTAATTATTCTTAAATAACCAATGGAAATGCACAGATGGTAAAGTGCTTACGATTGAAAGAACATTTGAATACCAATTGCCAACTAAAGAAAATGATAAGATAGCAGTAAACCTGTCTTCAAGGTTATTGACGATGAAAGAAGTTGAATGTTTGAGGAAACGAAACGTTTAGAGTTGTTAGACCATCTAATCACATTGATTATCTGTCAATCGTTTCTAATGTTGGACAATTATTTCACCATTCAATTGGTGCAGATAAACTACATAAAAAACTCCTAGCTAACTCATTAAAATCTATCGACGTGTAGACAGACGAAAGCCAATGAAATCCGTGTCCTAAGACTACGGAATTAAATCTCGCTAGCAAATTTCTTTCATTGACTGACGCGTTTGGGTATGAAGCAACATGTAGATTAAAGAGATTTAGACAATAAAATGAGTGGGAAAATGATATACAGAAATCTTCAATAAGATCGTTGTATTGTTATCACTCGACTTGATAAAAGTAGAAGCGTGGTTGTTATGAATCGCTTAGATTATGAGAAAACGATGGAATTATTTTTAAATGATAAAATAAAATTTAAGTCAATTTTTGTTGATCCTATAATCACTCGAGAAAACAGTTTAATTCAGCATCTGTTAACATTATTCAAAGCGGGTCATATTAATGAAGCGACGTATCACCAAATTCATCCTGTTGGTTCGAGTCTGGTACATATTTACGGTTTAGTAAAAATGCATAAGAAGGATGTTTTCCCACATTCATCTACCAATACATTTATTTATTTCGTAACAGAACTGAATTTTTCACGTAGCAACCCATGAAATTTTTTTATCGATTGAAACGGTGTCCGAACTCGTGTAAACGACGAAATAACAGAAACGCGTTCAACCGATACTTGGAACGCGTTTTGTATGATTAAACGGCTAAAAATCGCGTTTCAAGCATTATTTGAACGCGTTTCTGTTATTTCGTCGTTTACACGAGTTTGAACACCGTTTCAATCGATAAAAAAAAAACCATGGGAATATAAACATACGATTAAGAATACATTAGAATTCATAAAGATGCTAGAAAAGAATTAACAACTAGCCAATAGTGATACACAATGGTATCATTTGATGTCAGTAGCTTGTTTACAAATATACCAGCTGGATATACCAAACTATCGATATCATCGTTGAGAAATTATATTCGTCCAACAGAAAACCGTACAGAAAAATATTATAAAAGGTGTCTCACAAGTTCTGAAACGATTTCTAGAACGATGAATTTACAAATCGTTTCAGAAAAAAATTCCTTACAATACCAAACGATAGACAACTTAATTGTCTACAAGATTGTATATTCATATTTAACATTCATCTTTGATATTTAGCAGTCAGTCTAACAGGAAAAACTCCAAGCTTCCTAAGTGCACCTTCAGAAAATCGATTTTTGCACAAAACCTTGCTAAAAATCACTTATTAAACAAAACAAGATATACCGAAAAATGCAGCAAGAAATTTTCTACAACATGATGTTTTTTTTTAACAATGATTTTTTTAGATGAAATCAGAACGGTCTTCAAGAAAGATCATTTTCTCCGATTTTTCGGCCATCTTAGCGACAACCAGTATTCCCTAATTTTTCAGGTAAAAAAAGCAGCAGATTTATTTGTAACTTACACAGTCGAACAGAGCGCGAAATTCCGCATTGTTTGGTCTATAAACTAATGATTTCAACTTTGAATTCAAACTGGAATACTGAACTGGAATAGTCAAAACTTATTTTTAGTGCTAGAAACTTCGATGGACTTGGAAGTTTATGTATTAAAGCCACTAGCTATTGAAATAAATTTCCTTCAAGTAAACACTTTTGTAAAACATGAGAGCAATGAATGCAAAACGTTATATAGCAATTTCACCTAGTAGTATACCAAGTGAAACAGCTTTCTCCATTACCAGTTATATTTAGAGAAAAATCAACGCTTGTTTGTCCCAAATGGGTTACGATAACAAAGGAAAACGTATGTAATTACTGTAATGGTTTTGGCCAAGGAACTTCGGTTTCAGTGTCGGAAAAACTAGTCTTCTGGTGAGGAAATCCTGTTGATCTGTTCTTGGAAAAATCAATGTCTTGATCAGAGAATAAAGGGATATCCTTTTTACATTGCAATAATCTAGTCACTGCCCTGAGCAGACCATCTGATCCTTTACTAGAGTTTCTATTGATCAGATAAGACCAAGTAGAAATATATATGTTCTTACTACAGTACAAAAACGGAAGTTTATATTTACTTCAGACGCTATGAACACCGTTCGTATAAAAAAAGTTCACGTCCACCAGTGCTTTAGCGTTCAACGTTCAAGGAACGCGAACGTATTGCACAATAAAAATTTGTAGTGATTACGATTTACCGCACAATGAGTTTGACCACAATAGACAGTTAGGAAGATCGATGCAGATTTATTGAATACATCTTACGAGACCATCTAAATCGTCTAGTTAATGGTCATTTATAGTGTGACGTGCGTAAATATTTCAAACTATTTCTTTTTCTGTAGGTATCATTAACTGATGCCCACTACTGTTTTTTTCGGATCCAGTGGAATAATGAAAACATTAGTTTCATGATTTTTTTCTTCATTATTATTATCTTTTTTCTCTGATGAAAACAAACGTTTTTGTATTAATGGTCTAAATAAAATAAAAACTAATGATATTAGGAATAAGTCGTTTTATTTATTGGGGTAAAACATATTTTCCTGCAAACAATATCATGCGAATTTGTCTGTCATGAATTAAAATACGAACGGTCGATTACATTTAAATTTAATTAGTTTTCTATAACCCGCTTGACCATGTAGTATCATACGTGCACTTTCATTAATAGCACTAAATTTTGTAACCAAATTGACTGATGACGGTCCCGAGCTCAAAAAAAAGGTACATGACAGTTACAGATCAATAAACTCAAGTTTTCAGAAACCCTTAAAGGTTGTTTAATCATCCTTTAAGTTTAGGAATAAACGTTTTGGTTCATTAAAAGAATCGTTATGGGTTTCTGAAAACTTGAGTTTATTGATCTGTAACTGTCATGTACCGTTTCTTGAGCTCCAGAGCGTCATCAACCCATGTTGGATTCCGGAAAGTTGTTAATAAACTCAAATGTGTTTCGGACTGAGTTTTTTTCCTCTCCCAAACCCATTTAGTGAGTTTATTAATCAACTTTTTTTCAGAGAGTTATA